CGCCCCTTCTCGGGGTCTCGCCTCGCTGGGATAACCCGCCTGTCGTCTCGCGGTTACTCGTGGCTTTCTTGGCTATACCATACCTCCTCTACCATGGCCGGCACGATCCCCACACTCCCTGCCCCTCTCATCCCGGGGACACGCCCCGCTTCCTTCGGGGACCCCTCTATCATCCGTCCTTCCGACCCCCCTCCTTCCCACAGCCTGTCGTCTCTTTTGCCGCCCGACACAGCCCGTCATCTCTCTCACCCCGCGATCATCCCTTGCTCTCATGACAAGTCCATGCCGAATTTCTCCGCGCTTGGCTTCTCTCCCTATGTCGCCAAGACCATACTATCACTTTCCGCGCGTCACTCTGCAGCTTGTGGCACCGCCTCTTCTGCCCGAGAGGCGATGTCGATGATGTGCTATCTCCTTCACGTCGGCTTCACGCTATGTCCGCCTGCGAGTTTCCCTGGCCCAGCGCCTCCTCTGCCCCCCTCCGGAGCCCGCGCATGGCCAAACTCGCTCTCACCGGCCTCCGCAAATCCCGCGTCCCACGTGTCGCCGCCACGTCCTCGTCCGTCGTGGCCTGTCCTGGACGCGTGTCGCCAGGGTGCGACGAACCCCACGGCTGATCGTGGCAGTTTCGGAGCTACCGGCGCAAAGCCCTTTTAGTGCAATTATCACCCCGAGGTAGCATTTCGAGTGCCCATGTTTCACCTTCCTTCACTAGTTTCTCTTCTCACTATAATCCGAGTCGGGTACCTTTCTTCACCTGGTCTAAATTGCTGGAACACAATGGGCTGACGACTACTATGGTGTCCATGACTTGATGTACCCATCCATACCAGATGAAATAAAGCAATTACGTGGGCAAGTGAATGATGCAATCAGACTTGTCTTTCTCGACACTCAGCATGCGTACATTCGAATGACGATCAAGCTGGTGACTTGCGCCCACACAAAGCTTAGAGGTAATGAAGCCAAGAACGCAGCTCAGATTCAAACTTGTCTTGGTCGACTATGGCCGACCTCTGTACTCTCAGCAACTTGTTCTTACACACACCCTGGATCTCCCTGGATGTCTCGCACACACACCTCCACTACCTTTGTACTACTAACAAATACATACGAATGAGCATCATTAAGAGTATAGACGATGTGAAGATCAGAAATGAAATGAACGGAAGTATGAAGATGAAGGACGGACACAAAGGCTGTATAATCTGAAGATCTGAAATGAAATGGACAGGAGTATGAAGCTCTGAAGAGATGCACAGGAGCATACCTTCCCTTTTACTCTGCCTCCTGAAATCACGTGCAACTGGGCCGTGGAGGCACACGGGGATGTGGGCAGCTGCCGCCCAACCTCAATCAACGTGGGCAGCCTTGCGCATAAGAGGCACAGTAAAAGGGGAGCTGCAAGAACAATGAAAGGGGTACCCCAAGAACAACCAAAAAACTGTCTAATTATAAAATTGCTTTAATATGTTGGACATCTCAAATGCTCTCGTTGTCTGCAATAGGATAAAGACTGCTTTGATTCTGAATCTATTCACCTGGGTGGAATTGGGGCTGTTGTGGGGAAAATCTAAAACACACACCACACACACACACACACACACACACACACACACACACACACACAGAGACACCACACATACACACATACACACACACATACACACACATACACACACACACACACACCTACTAACACTAATCTCGCTGACGTGGTGGCTATGGCTGCCGTCTCTCCCCTCTACTAACTAACTATCGGCTATGGCCAATCTTCCTCCTCTTAGCCCTCTTCGTCAACGGGCACCTGCAGACCTCTGCACACAAGACACTTCGACAGCGCTTCCGCACAACTCACAGGCAGAATGAATGAATGACTGATCGCTGCCTCTTTATTTACACCTTGGACTGTCGCTGGTCTGCCTCTCTCCACCGGTCCCGAAGTGCACACAGTCCCACATGGTACTTGCTGACTTGACAGGGTGCGACTGGGACCGGGTACTGCTGACTAAGCAAGGTAAGACTGCCCACTTGACCACTTGCCTATGGACTGACTACTACAACTCACGAAGGGCCAGTTCCGGAACTTCAGGAAGACTGTGGCTTGACCCTTCAGTACTGTAGCAGCTACGACATGACCTTTCAACACTGTAGCAGCAACCCGACGACCACCTTACCTACAGCAACAAACAGGCGGCTTTCAAAACACAGGTCGTGGGTTCACGCACACACGGGTCATCGGTACTGTACACGGGTAAGGGCGAGGTCTGGGGATCGAGCTCTGGGATCTGCAACTGCTACCTCAAAGGTGAAAAGTTGAAAACCGTTTCACTCCCGCCGGCCTAAATTCGAGGTCCTCTGAGAATAATTCAATCCATAGCAGGAGCTTTACCTTTTTCAGCTTTTTCATAGGCAAGAACTATGTCGGGAGCCGTTTCTAGAAGTTCTGTTCACGTGAACCAGCGACCGTCCACGGGCTCTTGGTAAGCAAATTTCGTCAAGCCAAGTGCCTGCCCTAAGTGAAGGCGGGCCCCAGCAAGCCAAGTGCCTGCCCTAAGTGAAGGCGGGCCTGAATATTCGTCAGAGGCAAAATTCGACATTTCTGTATGTGGGTATTCGGGCTCTCGCAGCACGGCAGTTGGCTGGGTAGATGCGTGAGCTTCACAAAGCTGTGTCATACAGTTGGCCCAGGCTTTGACAGTTGCGCCTGGGCACATACACACAAAGCAGGGCCGGTACATTGGGAAGCAGCCCATCGGCCTTTGCAAAAGCAGTACCGCCGACGCACCTGCCTGGGAGCCCTGCACAGATGCAGCAAACAGCCCAATTCCAGAGACTCAGGCCGTGCCGAACTGAAAAGGGCCCAGGCCCTCAACTGTAGTCTCGGGCCTGGGTGCAGGGTCTGAGGCCCAAACGGAAGCTACTGGAAGCTTCCAGCCAGGCCACACACAGCATCCAGGAGGCTGCCACTTCCATAAAAGAAGTGAGTCAGCCCAGGCCAGGCATTCTGGCCAGTGCTGGCATTGCGGAAGTGCTGCTGCGCTCTCGCTTGATGCTGCACTGCTGCCAAAGGCGCTGACGGGGCGCGTAGTGGTGAGGAGGGCCACTGCAGGGCAGCGGGGCGCAGGCAGCCATAGCCGGGCTGCTGGGCGGCAGGGGGTGTAGCGGACGATCTGGTGGTCTTCAGGGAAGGAGGCGAGTGTGGGATGATCAAGGTCTGATTGAGGGTGGCGAGATACGTACCTGGTGCATGAAGAGAGGTCGGCTATGGAGTTGACAGTCATGTACATTGGTCTTCGAGAGTCGAAGTGAGCCTGTTGCGTGAACCAGCTGTAGGTAGGATATTCGGGCAGAGTAGGTTGGGCGCTGGGCGCCAGACAGAGAGGAGCGACTTTGGATACTGTGTTGGTGTGGCCTACGGGCTTGAACATTGGGACTGGGACTTTAACATTTGGATACTGTGTTGGTGTGGCCTACGGGCTTGAACATTGGAGACGACACTGGGACTGAAGAACTCTGCGCCATGACTTGTGATGCAGGAGCATCAGTAATACCGGTCAACAGAGGCATGCCATATAAGAACTGGTGTACTGGTGGTGGCAGCACCAGCAGACCCACACCGCCTATGTGCCGCTGATGGTCCTAAAGCGGTGAACAAGTGGTCTATGTATCAGTGTTGTTGCTGGGACAGCTGTCCTAGCCAGACGTATGTCCGACTGGCTTCAACTGATGACATGTGGTCATGGAGGCCTACGATCGATGTGATGATAGCGTTTTCTTTTGCCTGAAGAGTGCCTGCCGCATTGTATGTCCCCTTCCAGTGCCTCTGTGTGCCTGCTTCCTATTTTCTTCGTCTTCCTCCCGCCATGCTAATCTAAGTTCTTATTTCTGTCTACGAATGCCTGCTGCAGACATGCTTAGACTGATACCCACAGACTGGCGCGGACCAGCCTGACTGCCGATTACTTGCACTGTGGTCAAGGTACTTGAGGGTGTTGTCATTAACGACATACGTGCTTGGACCTACCTTCTGTTTGCTGTCTCCCCACCATCAGGGAGCGTTGGAAAATGTAGGGTTGTCTCTGTCAGTGCAAGGTATCCTGTTTCTAGCTGATAGGGTGTGTGATGACAATGTTTACCGAAGAAGACTGAAAACTAGTTTCCCCGGTTGTGTTGTACAAGCATCCAAGTCCTGGCAAATACAGTACTGCCCTTCCAAGAATAATCCAAAAGACAACTAGCCTACACAGATTAACTGATTCATTCTACACTAGCCGTCAGAACATACACATGGTGTGTCCTACAGCTAATCAAAGAGCAACAGTAAATGCTAACGAAATGAAAACAGTATGCTGTTGAGACTTCTCCATGTGTCATGTGAGCCACCACAGCACACCCGGGGTTCCAGACACATGAGGTCCAGCTGTGGCCACCATTCATCCAGCAGCATTTCTGGACCAGCTGATGCAACGCACTTGTCAATCTATTATTTCAGAGGCCTGTCTGGCTAGAACGTAAGGCTGGGCAATGAGAATATGTTCCATTCATGCTGCCTTATGCAGACATAATCGAGTACTGGAGGAGTGTCTCATTCATGCTGCCTTGTAGCCACAACTGAGTACAGGGGGCTCCAAGGGATGGCAGCAGCCACAGCAATGGGCGGAAGGGGTAGGCGCTGCGGCTCCAGTGAAGTGGAGAGCACCAGGAAGGACTTGGTGTGGCGAGAGGAACTGTAGGTAATCGAAGGTATGAAAAGCTAAGTCCCATAGCTATCAAGGTCGCACATAGAAGTGGTCTTTTCTCCATCAGAGAGCTCTGTTGTTGTATTTTTCACTTGATCATCTGAGGGCTCCTCTCTCTTTTCCAAGGGTATTTGGTTCATGCTTTCATGTATGTGATGAATATGTGCTACTTACATATTCACAAGTGGTTTGTGATTCCGTTCCTTCGAGATGACTTTGCCTTACAGTTGCTTATCTGCTGATCATATATTGGTACAGGTACAAGCCGTTGGGAATAAGGCTTGATTCAGGGGATCTTGCATATCAGTCAATAGAAGCAAGAAAGTTCTTCGGAATTATTGGTGAAGCTTTTTGCCTTCCAACTTTCCAGAAGATGACAATCACTGCAAGCAACGACATCACTGAAGATACACTTGATGCATTAAATAAGCAGGTTCCTCTTGTCTTCCCTTTTTTTCCGTTTTACACAACCATGCAGTTTGTTGTGCTGTGTGCTCAAAATCTCCTGTTTTTGTACTCTGTCCGTCGCCTTTTCTCTTGTCATTGTCGCTGATTGCCGCTTTATGCCTGCCTTCCAACTTTTCACACGATAAATACTTGTGAAAGCATTGTAGATTCTGTAGACATGTTTGATGCATTTGATAAGCAGATTCCTCTTCTCTCACTTGCTTTTCCATCTCACATCAGCATGCAGTTAGGTGCATGTGTGGCAATGTGTGCTGGAAGTCTACTGATAGAGTCTGTTTCTCTATTCTCCCCTTCCCTTCCCTGTTGTTGATGTTGCTGATCGGTGGGTTTTGCCATGTCATCAATTTTGATGCTGCTTGTCCATGTGACTGGGGATTGGTTCCATCATCTGTGTAATCTGGGAATGGTCCAAACTGGTGAGCAAAAGACAACGGGGAATTTTCTCTCGTTTTGTCCTTGTGTTTGCTGGCTGTATCCGGTTTTCTGTTCACATGAAACTCGATTGTTCAGTGGGGGCAGTATCAATTCTTGCCACAGTACTCACAACAATGCAATGACTTGCTGTTTTCTGGTCGCCTGTAGCCTCTCTCTGTCGAGGCTGTACTATAGGTAGGACAGATTCACAATTTTGTTTGGCTGAGGGCTAACTGAGAGACCTACCTGTGAGAGAAATTCGTGAGGGACATATCTGCAAATTCGAGAAAAATATGCAGTCCCGGTACTAACAGATTTCCCTACAGCTACCCTAACTGTGGATAGCAGGCCCGGACTACCCCTAGGACAGACAGGCCCTAAGGGCCTATTCTGATAGATGGTCCTATAGCCTATAGCCGGGTCCGGTAGAGGCCGAGAGGCCGAAACAGAAACGGTACCGGTCGGTCAGTCAGTCCGGTCTAGGTCGAGTCTAGGCTAGTGTAGTATAGATAGGATGGGGACATCGGTTCAGGGCTTTTGGCAGTTGGTAYCGAGTACAACGCTGCTGCGCTACGCGTGAACCGGAAGTGGTGACGGCTCAGCGTGGAAGAAGACAGGCATAGCCAGACCTTCGGAGCGCCAGCCATAGCTGGGACCTGCGCTGTACTCTGCCAGCACGTAGGGGCTGACAGAGGTCTGGGATATCGAGGTCTGCTGGAGGCGAGAGAGATTAGTGCCCTGCTGGACCCTCCTCCGGAGTGGGGTAACTTTTAAATAAATAAATAATTTGTTACAATCGATAATTATATCATAAGAAATTTGGTGGCGCTGCTGCAGACTTCCACCCGGTAAGTCTTCCGACACTTCGTCATCATCAGATACTGTGGCGCTGGTCTTCTTCTTCATCCTCTGAGTGGCGCGTGGTCTCAGAGGCCTGTTTCAGGGTGGCGCTTCCCTCAGGAGGCTGCATCTGGGTGGCGCTTGATGTTTCAGGGGCTCAGGGGTGTTACGGGTGCTAATCAGGGTTGGGGAGTGAAGCGCTGCTCAATTCTGAGCAGCACACTGTAGTTCTGATGTTATCTTGACAATTCGAGACTCTTAAGTTTAATAAATAGTGTATAACTGGGTTTGGGCTATCATCGTTTCATTGTTTTCCTGGATGTGATCTGCTCGGCTTTTCTCTATGACTGGTTGTGAGGATTGTCATATCGCACGGTCAAGTCTTCCGCTGTGTTTATCTCTCCCTGTGTGGTGTGATACTCCTATCCTCTCCCCTTCCTTCTGTGTATGTATGGGCATACATGAAAGTCTATGTGAGTGAGTGTTGGTCTTAAGACAACAAACAACCAGAATCATAACAGTTGGTATTAGAGCAATTGGATCCAGACTCTGGAGGGATTGATGAGTTGGAGCACCCATCATCATCTGGCAAGATACCGGAGTTGAGTCTCATGGCGATTCATCATCTTCAGGGTTGTTGTCAGTAAGGGTGGTGGTTGTGAGTGTGTGGCGAGAAGAATTGGACAGAGGGTGACTCACTCCTGGCTAGGGTTGTGCAGGAGTGGTTGGCGATTGACACACAGAGGCCTGAGAGGCTATGAGGGGCTAAATTTAGCCCGGCGATTCATCTGGAGGATGGCGATTGGCAAAGAAGTGATCCCAGGAGATTGCGATTATGGAATTGGGTCAGGATCCCCAATTTCCAAGCAGCGCATTACAGAGTGATGTGGCGCTGCACTGACTTGGTCAGTTATTGGCACCTAGGAGTTCGATTTCTCTGAATCTGTCAGTTGGGGGTGAAGCGCCTCAGGGTAATCTACTGGATCACCAAGTTTGAGGTAATTTGGTACGTGGGAACACTGGATACTGTCAGGAGATGAAACTGGCGAGATGGGGTTGATGAGTCAGCCATAGCCAGGGTTTCATGCACCTTCTTCAGAGTTGACCCTGAAGTAAGTGTGTTCCATACTCCATCCTGTGTGGCGATTCTGGGTCTATTTTAGATTAGCAAAATGTGGTCTGTCTGTCAGGTGACAGCTGAAAATCGAAATTCAGACTGTGGGACAGCCATATCCAACTTCATCTACCTACCTTCTTTGACTTCTACTAACCTTGTTTGACCTTCTTTCTGACTCATATTTCATCTATGACTGCGTTACAGTATTGCGATTGACATTGTGTATTGAATTGGTGAATTCAGGGTCCTGTCTTCAGTGATAATTCAAATTTGAATTTTGCGCCGACATAGCTAAAGCTAGGCTGGACTAGGCTCAGTCATAACTTTGATTCTGTCCGTCAGGATTCAATTCTTTCAGTCCCTGGTAAATCGCAATTCAGTATTCAGTCAGTGTCTGAAATTGCACATCCAGAATTGACGTTCTGAGTCAGTTACAGTGAAAACTGTAATTCGCCATAACCAGGGTATGGCATACAGGGGTCATACAATGGTGAGGTATGTAGGATAGGTCTAAAAATAGGGTACCCTGTAAATCGCTGCATCTTGGTCATTAGTAGACACCTGTCTAACCCTAATTAGTCACTTTGTCTAATTACTAATCAATACTAATCAGTCCAAGACCGCGTCCTGTCAATTGTTGAAGCAGGATTTGCAATTATTGCGTGCAATTGTTGTGTCAGGGCAGGAATGGAAAAATCGTGAAATTGATTTTTGCCTGAGTGGTCTCTAAACCGACTCTGACCCTCAAGTGGTCTGCTGAGATTGAGCACTCACTTGCTCAGACTAACCAATCTTCTCTCTCCAGGCAGGTGACAGCAATTGAGTGAGTAAAGAAGCGAAAACTCAATTCCTGTTACCTCCTGCTTTGTCTTTGGTTATTCTTCATTGTGTGTTTATTTACATGTATTGTGGGTAAATAAAATGGTTGATTATGGGAAGGCAGTGCCTCAGAAGGATGAGACTTCTGATGAGAAGCCTCGGGTACAGCTCAAGATCACAGTACAGCCTGAGACACCTGTTCTGCTTGACCCTTTAGAGGCTGAACTGCGGGCCCAGGAGGAGAAACTCCGCCAACAGGCCCAGGCAGTTGAGTCTCTGACGGCCGAACTGGAGAAGAAGTAAGAAGCAACTCAGAAGGAGGCTAGGAGAAAACTTCTGATCGCAGATGTGGAGAAGGTCAGGACAAGTGGTAGTTCCAGTCAGTACAACAAGGACATGGATGAATTCATCCTCTTGCAGGATGATATTCACCGTTCTTATTTTACTAACTGGGATGAGCGGATTACCAGTCTGGAGAATAGCCACTCAGCTTTTCCTAAGAAGCTGGATGACATTTCTGCCAAACTGGATCTAATCTTTACTCACCTCAAGATCCCTACCACTTCCCCTGCTCCTCCCTCTCCTGGACCTTCTCAAGGAAGACCCACATCAACCCCACAATCCAGACCTACATCTCCACCCCCTACACCCACACAACAGCAGCTTCTCAACCCTCACTCTCATTTGCTCAGCAGCGGCCCAAGCTGACACCCCCACTCAACCCTCACTCATTTGCTCAGCAGCGGCCCAAGCTGACACCCCCACCTATGTTCTCTGGCGAGGACCCAAAGGTGGATGTAGCAGACTGGGTCACTGCTCAGCGAACCTACCTGAGTGGGTTCAAATGTGATGAGGATGTGAAGGYGTCTGCCATCCTTGCTCGCTTGGAGAGGACTGCACTGAAATGGTGCACTTCCACCTCCAACAAGCAAGGAATGGAGATGATTGGGCGCAGAGGTTGGGGGTGACTGGTTTTCTGCAAGCACTGCAAGACCGGTTTGCATACAAGGAGCAAGTCGGAAAGGCAGCAGACAAAATTCTGCGCTTGGACCAGAAGAAGTTTGATGGCGCCTTGTCCAAACTGTATTCTACCTTTGAGAGTCTCACATCGACTCGAGGGTTAGAGATGAGTGAGCAGGATTTGCTCATTCATTCTTAAGAGCAGCGCCTGAGCAATACCAAATTGCATTGTTCTCTCAGGGCCACAAGGACTGGCGGTCCTTTGGCAGAGCAGCCCTGGAGTCCAAACTCCATGTCCAGGAAGCACCTTCTGAAGGAAGGGAGGGACCCTCCTCCAATGGGTGAAGGAGGAAGGGTGCCCTGTTTGCTGCTGCAGCTTCTGGTTCAAATAGTGACGCAGCATCCCAGGGTGGGAGCCCTCCACCTGGGACTGCCTCATCACCTGCTGCAGACTTTGCTGTTCTTGCCCTGGCTGATGCTTTGATGGGCCTAACAAAGGGCAAAGCCCCTGCCCAGAAAGCATTGACCAGCAAACAGGGGAAAGGAAAGGGACGTGCCTCTTCCCTTGGGGCCCAGAGAGTACCCCTACCACGTGACGTCCGCTGGCCAGCTGATCTGCTTGATCCTTCCACCTTCCCCTGGCATGCACTCAGGATCCAGGAAGGGGTATGGAGGAAGAGGAAGGACAAGGGGGTCTGCCTGAGATGCGAGGGGGACCACTTCTTGAAGGACTGTCCCAGCATGCCTCGCAGGTCTACAGGCAACTCTAGTTCAAAAAACTAGAGCAGAGAGAGGTGGAAGTAGCAGCTCCTTCC